AAAAAAAAAAAAAAAAAACCATAGATTCATTATTTAGTTCATCTGAACGTGGTATGTGCATGTGCTTACTTGGACAGATTAAAGATTAATTCTTTCTAGAACAAATGTTAGGCATTAAATACCAAGGAAAATTTCAAGTGCCAGAGATATTCATCTGTATATTGTTAGAACAAATCAAGTTCTCCCTGTGCTCATCAAGTTATTTTATTCAAGCCTCGAAGCCACTTTTATACTAAAAGTTCTGTTTTATACTCTTAAAATAGAATGCGATTGAACTATTTATACTTGTGGCAGTTTTGCTGACTAGCATGAGGCCCTGTGCCTTCACTGCTTTCCATGCTCAAGTCTGCAGGCCCTTTCCTCACACAGAGGTTTCCTGCCAGGTAGAGTGGATGGGAATTAGAGCATAGGGTTTTTGTAACATTGATAAGATATTCCAGTTCCCAGTTGTAATAATAATATTCTAAAGAGAGAAGGCATTTCTAAGGGTGAAGCAAAAGAAGATCTGAATTTTTTTATATTGATCATTTAGAAATTATCCACATGGAAAAATGTACACATATAATTGAGGGTCCCAAGTTCCTGCTTGGCGTTTATTCATTTACTTTTTTTAAATTATAAAAACAAGATCTTAGAGATGGGGGAAAAAAATCTCAAAAGGCATCTTGCCCAAGTCTAACCTAATGCAACATCTTAGTCAGCTTCCGCTTGAGTGCTTTGTACCAAAGGAGACCTCACCTCCTCATAACGCAACATCAACTTCTTCTGTGAATGTTTAGTTGTTAGAAAACTCGTCAAAATGTGCATACTTAGTTCTGTCCGTTGATATTCATGTCTGATATATAGTAGGCCCTTGATTAGTGTCTATTGAATTTTTTCAGTAAAATTACTGTATTTTTTATTGTTAAAGCAGACCCTAAGGTAGGGGTCCCCAAGCCCCAGGCCGCAGACCAGTACCATTCTGAGGCTATTAGGAACCGGGCCACGCAACAGGAGGTGAATGACCAGAGAGTGAGCAAAGCTTCACCTGTATTTACAGCTGCTCCCCATCGCTTGCCTGAGCTCTGTCTCCTGTTAGATCAGCGGCAGCATCAGATTCTCTTAGGAGGGCGACCCCTGTTGTGAACTGCACATGTGAGGGATCTAGGTTGTATGCTCCTTTTG